ACTTTTAATGCTCATGTTGATCGTATGGGCATTATAGATAAGTCGTTGCTGTAATTTAAATAATTGCTCATTATATATGATATCTTGAATTCAATAAAGTCTTGTTTCTGTTATAGTATATATGGATCAGCCTGAAGGATTTATACCCACAGGAAAAGAAAATTTAGTGTGTAAGCTGAGAAAATCAATTTATGGACTAAAACAAGCTTCCCGACAATGGTATCTTAAATTTAATAATACCATTACATCTTATGGTTTCGTAGAAAATATCGTTGATCGATGTATCTACATGAAGGTTAGTGGAAGTAAGTATGCGATTTTAGTCTTATACGTTGATGATATTTTACTTGCTGCAAATGACATGGGAATTTTACATGATGTAAAAGTGTTTCTTTCTAAGAATTTTGATATGAAAGATATGGGCGAGGCATCCTATGTGATAGGAATAGAAATATTCCGAAATAGATCACAAGGATTGTTAGGATTGTCTCAGAAAGGTTATATCAACAAAATCTTAGAAAGATTCAGAATGGATAAATGCTCTGCAGGAAAGGTTCCAATTCAGAAAGGGGACAAGTTCAGTAATTTACAATGTCCGAAAAATGAATTAGAACGAAAGGAAATGGAAAATATTCCTTATGCATCAGTGGTTGGGAGTTTAATGTATGCTCAAACGTGTACTCGACCAGATATCAGCTTTGCTGTTGGAATGTTAGGTCGGTACCAGAGTAATCCTGGAATGAATCACTGGAAAGCTGCAAAGAAAGTTCTAAGGTACTTGCAAGGCACCAAAGATTATATGCTCACATACAGAAGATCAAATCATCTGGAAGTCATTGGTTATTCAGATTCAGATTATGCTGTATGTGTTGATACCAGAAAATCGAATTTTGGATATTTGTTTCTACTTGCCGGAGGAGCAGTATCATGGAGGAGTGGAAAGCAGTCTGTCATCGCTGCTTCCACCATGGAAGCTGAGTTTGTAGCATGTTTTGAAGCTACCGTTCACAGTTTATGGATGCGGAACTTTATCTCAGGGCTTAGGATTGTCGACACTATAGCTAGGCCGCTGAGAATTTACTGTGATAATTCCGCAGCTATCTTCTTCTCGAAAAATGATAAGTACTCGAAAGGTGCTAAGCATATGGAGATAAAATACTTATCTGTCAAAGAAGAAGTGCAGAAACAAAGAGTATCATTTGAGCATATCAGTACTGATTTTATGATAGCGGATCCATTAACTAAGGGACTGCCGCCTAAGACTTTTAATGCTCATGTTGATCGTATGGGCATTATAGATAAGTCGTTGTTGTAATTTAAATAATTGCTCATTATATATGATATCTTGAATTCAATAAAGTCTTGTTTCTGTTATTGAAAGTCATATTATCATTAAATTATTTGTGTACATATGAAGTTGATAAAGATAATATGCATTATTGTTCTATAGTTACTTCTGGCCATAAAAGAGGTTTTGGATGACAAACGTTTGTGATACTTGGAAGGAATCATATTCAAATAAAATGATGTGTGACCGCCAAGATTCAATCGTTTGTTGTTCAAATAAAAGTTATCGGTGATAGATGAATACAATATAAAATTACGCGTTTTAAAGATTGTAGATCATCAAATCATCACATGGGCCAAGTGGGAGAATGTTGGAAATATAAAATTGACCCATGGAATTTTGGGTTTTGGACTTCATATTATTTTGAGCTCATTGATGGATATGAGCTAATTAAGTTTGAATGTCCATTGGTATTCATGGTAATCCATCTCTTTCCCCTATAAATAGAGGATCTTGATTCATATTTTTCATCCATCAGAAAAATTATCAAAGTAAGGGTGAAAAGAGAGAAAAACCGATTTACCGAATTATTCTTCAAAGTCATTCCGCTGCAAAATGGATTCAGGTATAATTCTTATCCGATATGTATATTAATTTCGAATTGTATGAATTATGCAAAAACCGTATCCAGTTTTTGGTGAGTTTTCATAAAGTTATCGAAAACCATCAAATGTAAAGTATTTTACAACCAGACCCTTTGCTGTGTCAGATACTCTCATACCTGCCCATGAAGAACGCGGTTAGGACAAGCGTTTTATCCACCAGATGGAGAAACCTCTGGTCAGGAGTTTCTGGATTGGAACTGGAAGCCGGTGAATTCCAAGATTACGATGCCTTGGCGAGTTTTCTCGACAAGTTTATGGATTTACACAAGGGTGAGATCCATAAACTCTTATTAGTGGTTGATGGTGAAGATGATGATGCATCTTGTTTCATCTCACGGATTAATGCTGTAGTAAACCGTGGAATTCAACATCTCGATCTTACGATGGGTTATGGATTCATGATGCCTCGATCCATTTGTGCGTGCGAGACATTGGTGAGCTTAAAACTTCATGACATGATCTTGGATTATCCCGAGTTTGTTTCTTTGCCTTGTCTGAAGATTCTTGATTTAGGACATGTTGAGTATGCAGATGATAATCTCAAACTGCCCGGTTCTCGAAGATTTAACCATCTCGAGGAGTGTCCCGGATAATGTAAAAGTCTTATGGGTGCGTTCTCATACTCTAAGGAGCTTTAAACTTGATTTCGATGCCATTGAGTATGATGAAGAACTTGAAGTTGTGATCGAAGGTCCTAGACTCAGGTATCTGAAAATCTTCGATTTCCGTACTGACGTCTTCAAGATCAGCAGTCTTGATTCTTCTGCCACTGTCGATCTTTCTCTAACCTTTAACGAACTGTACGGAGATATACCGGTCTCGTATGTATCATCGAAGAAACAAATCGTCCGCAACTTTCTCGTCGGGATCTCATCTGCGAGAAATATGACCATTTCTCAGGAGACGCTAGACGTATATATATAGAGTTTTTTCTCCATGAATATCGCTCATCTTGTTCAACATTCTTCTCTTTCTCTCTTTCAGGTCATCCATGGTTTCCTTAAAGGGGAAGCTCTACCAGAATTCAGAAACTTGTCTCATGTTTCAGCCACATTCTCTTACCATTTGCTGAAAATGTTGCCTACCCTTCTCGAGAGCTGTCCGAATCTGAAATCATTCGTCCTGAAGGTTTAATCAGCTCGTTGGTTTCGACATGGATAATCGTACAAGGTCTCAAATTACTTACTTTGTTCATGTATTTGCAGGGAAAGGACTCTTGTTCGGAGAAGAATCAAATCAGATTCAAATCCGTTCCACCACGGTGTTTAGTGACGTCTCTCGAGTCTGTCGAGATTGAGATACCGATAAGTTGGAACGCGGAAAGGCAATTAGCGAAATACTTTCTCGGGGATTCGGAAGTGATCAAGAAACTTACGATACGTTGCGGTGAATCTACGAGCGAGGAGAAAGCCGGTGGCATACTCAATGAACTCGCTGCATTATCGCCGCCAAGACGTTCGACCACTTGTGAAGTTGTTTTGTTTTGCTGAGGTTTAGAGACAGCTTTGGTTAACATTAGGGGTTTTGTCTTTGAAGAGTTTTACACATATTTTATGATTTTTTGTTTTTTCTAAATAATTTTGTTAATTATATATTATTAGTGTTATTTGCAGATGATGATTATGTTTAAGTAATCAAACCTCTGTTTGAGTTGGAGAGTCTGTAGTTTAATATTCTAATATACAGCCAAGTTTTATTTTAACTAGAATTCTTTGGATAAAATAAACTCAAACCAAATATAAAACATAAATATATATATATAATATGTTGTACTGATTTTATGATAGCGGATCCATTAACTAAGGGACTGCCGCCTAAGACTTTT